AATATGAAGTAAATGTGATGGGAAATCGGCCTGCAAAATTTGTATGTACAATCCATTTTAGATGCGAACTGTCTAGACACTATGACCGCCTGTCATGACCACGTGCGAACCGCAAAGTGCCTTTGCACACCAATCTAAGCCCACGCCACAGCTATGTGCTTTTTGTGGTTGGCTTCTGGGAGCCAGTTAAAAGACGGGCATTTACCACAGCCAAAGAATAATAGTTTAGCCATTGAATGTTCCGTTTCCCGTTGCCAGCTTTCTAGGCAATATATCTTCTTATCGAGTTCTTAGGTTTTCGCGATTGTTACACATAGGAAATGAAACTATTTTTCCGGATTTAAATCTCGTATATTTGTTTTTTCAAACAAACCGACATTTCGAGCCTTTTACAGGTCCCATGGTCACGGTCAAAATAGTTTCATTTCCTAAGTATATCTCCTTGTGAAAGAGTACACTACAGGGTAGTACTGCCACCTTATCTATGTCTGCCGCCAAGCAGTAAGTGAGCATTACTGCGTTAAGGCCCTTTCAACTTATGTTTCAGGGTGACGGCAGCAGTGGCCTGAGATCTGATTTGTTATGTGATTTAAAGCTCTGAGTGTCACTGCCATTGCTACCCACTGGCGTCTCGCTTACCACCAGGCGACCTGTTCATCCCGCTACTTGATATCATATAAAATGCATATTTATCCTAGGATGCTGTCCTCGGTGCAATTTTCTACCATTAATGAAAAAATATATTTCCTTCTCTTTTCATCTTCATATCATGTCAAGCATACTTAGCATACGTGATTTAAAAAAAAGTTAAAATAAATAAAAATTCTTGTGTAATTGTGTTAAATCGTGCAAGTCCTACCTAATTTGCTCACATTAAAAATGACTATTCCAAAATTATTTAACATCAACCGCAGCTAGCCGACTTCAGTTATGAATAGCGAGTGCTATGCTTCACAAAAAAACGTTTCTCTCTATGCTCGTGGATTTAGAATTTAAAATAAAATTGAAACAAAATTTTTAATCGGGTTACGAGAAAAAGTACACCTTGCTACATAGGCTTCTATGGAAGTATAATTTGTAATAATACTTTCTATTTTCAAATGCTAACAAAAACGGAAAATTCACCCTTCGTGACGACGTGTGTGAGTAACGATGCACAAACGACCTCTTTGCATATAACTAGCACGCTTTCTATGTTTAAAATTTTAATTAAATCCACTGTGTGCTGTAGTTAACAATTGCACTATTAATAAAGTTTCCATTTTATACCTTTTATTTTAAAGAGAAGAATAAAAAATATAACACCACCACCGACTACATTGTTCGATAAAAGTTTTATTACTCTAAAATTATGAATATTAAAAGACTTAAACATAGTTGACAATTATATAGTGGAAACGTTTATGAATGTAATACGATAAAACTCTAATTTATAATACCAAGGTTAAAATGTACATTATGTCATAAGTGTATTTTGCTACGCCCTTACAGGGTATCGCATGTAGTTACTACCATAGTTCTAAGTTTGTGTACTATAACGCTTAAGACTATATGTAAAATGCAAATAAATAATTTTTTTTTTTTATATCAAGTCATGGGATGAGTAAGTCGTGCGCCTGGTGGTAAGCGACATGCCTGCCCATAACAGTTGCAGTGCCACTCAGAGGTGTAAATTGCAAAGATCTGACACTACACCCGTCACCCTGAAACCTAAGTTGACAAGTCCCATGTGCCTGTAACTTCATCAGTACCCTTACCCTTCAAAACCGGAACGCAACCTCAGATTGCTGCTTGGCGGCAGAAATAAGTAAGGTGGCAATACTTCCCTAGAGGAACTCATCAAGGACCTCTATTGCTACTAAATATTAAATAAATAATAATATTCGAAATATAGTTTACGCGTACTATGTTGCATTTGGAAATATCCCTTCCACGCTCTTGGCTGGTTTTTGTTGTTAAATATGTACATCCGGATATGGGTTCATTGCGGGTCAAAAGTATCCCCACTTCCCTATCCAATTTATTTTAATCCGCATATGTATTAATAGTTATTTGTTATGTTATTTTATTGTAATTGTTAAGTTGTTGTTTGATGCTAGTGCTTGGAAGAAATGAAAGAGACTAAGATTGAAAATAGAATCCTGATCGTAGCGAGGGTTTCAAGACAAGAGACCCAAAACAACATTGCTGCCGAGCGAAACACAGAACTTTTCACCTCACTACAGCTATCTTCTTCTTCTTTTAAATGTTATGGCTCCATCGAAATAATCAATGATTTTGCCAATGTCAAGTAAAAGTAACTATGCACGGTAGTTTAATATTATTATAAAAATTATACAAAAAAAATGGCGATTGAGTCAATGTCCTGTGATTTTTTTATTTTTTTTAAAATGGTACATGAAAGAAAAATAGTTGAATAGTTGTCGTTGTCAATTTTATGTCAACAATAATAAGAATAAAATATACCAACCGTAGAGGGAGCATAAAAAAGAATAGAGAAGCTTCTCTATTCTTTTTTCTCGCGTATACTGAAAAGGGATACCAACAGAGTACCTATAAATTCTGGGTTGTCTACTTTTAAAATTTTACCCCGTTAAAGAAATTGAAATGAAAATGAAGCCATGGTAGGCTAATGGTTTGACCTACTGCCTTTCAAGCAGAGAGTCGTGGGTTCGAATCCAGACTCGTACCTCTGAGTTTCTCGGAATTTGTGCGAAATTTAATTTGAAATTTATCATGAGCTTTTCGGTGAAGGATAACATCGTGATGAAACGTTGAAGAAGGTTCAAATTCCTCGGAAAACGTGTGCAGTTCCTAACCCTCATTGGGTCAGTGTGGTGGAATGTCGCCTAAGCACTCGCCTGAGAGGAGACCCGTGCCCAGCAGTGGGACGTATAAATGAGTTCATGATAATGATGAAATCTGCCGAGTCTATGGAGGGAAAATCCGCCAGATCACATTTAGCTTGGTTGAGTTTTAGTAACCAAATAAAACAATTATGACAAATCATTACTTTTATATTGGCGTCTGTACAAATCTTCATATTCGTGTAATAGCCAGGGTTTGAATGGCGGCACCATTACATCCGGGTTCATGGCTTCATTTTTGTTTGAAAAACTATTGCAGCAAATTTTTGATAATTCTTTTGTTCCGTTTTGTACTATAACTTGGTAAATAATCAAAAATTTGGTTTTAGTAAGTGGTAAATGGTTCAAAAATAAGACGAATAGATAGATGTGTTTGTTCCCGCGGTTGGGCGGGAAGTGATCGTGGTACGAAACAAAATGAGAAAACGGAGGAAGATGGAACAATTCAAATTTTTAAATTTAAATATGAGTTGAAGAAAAAAACGATACGTTACGAATGGAGAGAAGCGATACAAAAAGGTGGGATGACGATGTAAGGAGATCACAAGAAAATTCTTTGATTGTAATGAAAAATTAAAACTTACGTGTGAAAGGTTATGTTGGGAATTTTTCGTTCCGTACGGCTTTTACAGCCTAAAATATAACAATGCGCCATTATTGTGAGCTGCAATAATTGTCAATTACTACAAAGGAATGGTTAGTAACTTTGTAAAACACTTCTTAAAAGCACAAACACTTAAAATCGATGCACATCAAACACTCGGAAGGATTTGCTGGACTTAACGAGCGTTGAGTCATACAACCAAAACCGCATACGTAGAAAGGGACAAAAAATAATAATGTTTTCTCGTTTCCTCGGATATGTCTGTACATAAATCTATCTCGCTTATACGGTTTTTATTATTTATAAAGCCCCTCTACCCAATTCTCCCTCTACGATACCAAAGATTATATTACAAACATAATGTACATCAAATCACGTTGTTGAAAGTGTCATTATGTGTTTTTTTCATCGAAAGAAGAAGTTAGTTAGTTAGTTAGAAGTTAGCACCACAGTCCATCGACAAGTTCGAATTTCGAAAACCTTTTTCACGCTGGCGCAACGCTATTGCGCTCAGATTTGTAATGAGAAAAAAAGCCGAGCTAGTGAGGTGACAATTATATTTTTGATATAGTGAGATTACGTAACGCATACAAAATTCAGATAGACAGCACAGATATGTAGCTGATCCTCATTTGAGATATGAGGAAGCAATCTCAACTTAAGTGTCTGGTAATTGCAGCGTAACCATCTCCTGCCTCCTGTAGTCTATCTAGTATAGCCCTGTGGAACTGGCGGCAATTACTACGTCCCAGTTTCAGGTGAGATGCGGTTCATGTCCGAGTAAACTTAGAACTAGCTAACTCTCATTAAATGCAAGTTGAAAGTTGTTTTAAACATACGAAAATGTCGAGTTTACTTTTATTCAACTGAATAGAAAGAACTGAAATTAAAACGTTTGTATTTTAGTAGTTGTACCTTACCTATTTCTGCCGCCAAGCAGTTGTCAACTTATGTCTCAGGGTAACAGGCGCAATCGTAATGCCCTACATATCCTTGCAATTTAAAGCTCTTAGTGGCAATGCAACTGATTATGGACAGGCGTGTCGCTTATGACCAGGCGCACGACTTGTTAGTTCCGTTACTTAATATCATAAAAACAAAATCTCCAAATTTTAAATAAAGAACAAATATGTTCATGGTCGTACAAACATTTTCCCAATAGGAATCGGTAACGTAGGAATAGTAAAAACAGTTCGCAGTTTGTTCCCGTTTTTATTATTGTTGTATCAAACTTTGAAAAAAACTAGCCAATTTAATGTACAAATATTCCAATTGGTGAATGAATATTCATGTTTTAAAAGTAGAACGTTTTTATTCGTAGTTTATGCAAACACAGACGTTGAATCGAATGGAAGTTGAATACGGAATTGGGAGAGAAAAGTAAATTTTTCTAGAAATATTGAAATATGGATTGAGTTTCCACTTTCATGTTTTTTGGCACTTGAAAAGCAGAATATTGCAGTTTCCTCTTTTGTTGTAGCGAAAGTTTCAAAGGCCATAAATTTCTAATAAAAAAATTTTGTTCTCAGGTGATATTTTCGTACTGGTGTTTGCGATGGATAGTAGAGAATCTTTCGAAGAAGTGATGAGGCTACGGGAACAGATTCTGGAGACTAAGGCCAGCGCATCTAGTGGGACCAGCAGAGGGCGGCGACAAGCCCCTCGGGTGCCCATGGCCATCGCAGGGAATAAATGCGATAGAGAACTCAAGTAAGTAGGTACCAGACATACATACAACTTTTACATCGCCAATTGTTACATCGATTTGTAGAACAACTCAAAAACTAACAATAAAATATAAAAAAATAAGTATGTTAACGACCTTGTTTTCATAGTATCTTTGAAAAACTAGAAAAATTGCGAAAAAAATTTTCCTTTATTAAATCATCCTTTTCTTATTTACACAAAATGTTCTGGACTTATGTTACTTTCTTATGTTATATATGGACTTATGTTATTTTAGATAGTTAATGTTCTTAGCTTTCAAATGACACCAAAATGTAGGGCAACCAAGTCTGGGAAGCCATCTCGCAAGTGATTAAGTGAGCACGGGTAATTTGCTCAATTTAAAAATAAAAATGGCTGTATTTTGAAGAAGGTGATTCCTCACCTTCCTGCGACCCCCATACACAAAAACACCCGTTTTTGGCGATAAATTTGACCATAGTTTCGCCCTTAAAGTTTTTAATCTACATTCCCGAACACACTGTGTATATCACCACCGCCACACACTCTCTCACAGAGACTACGGCCTAAACCTTAATATCAAAAGTACAAATTCTGTAACTGACGATTTCTTAATATTTCCATCTTTTTCTTATACTTCTAGAACTCTCAATCACGTGATGTTTGTTTATTTTTTACGTGGTATATACTAAATCTATGGGCCCTATACTGGCTACGATCTTAATTCGTAGGTAAGCAAATTGCACTTCAAATTTTCACATTAATAAAATCATTGAAACTTCTCATTCGTAAGCCAGATTCCACTGAGAAGAATGAGTCAGAAGTTCTAGCGATTGTTTTTTGTAAATAAACATTCGTATACATTTATTATTTACAACAATTATTTTAAATATGATAGATGAAAACAACAACCTGTGAGAGCTAAACGGGTCATTACCATGGATTTTTGTCATCCAAGTATGCAGAAGCTGTATAATAAGTGTAAACTTTTTTGTTTTTTTTTTTTAACGATGCCAAGTAACGGGACGAACAAGCCGTGTCCCCGAGTGGTCAGCGACACGGCTGTCCATAACAATTGCAGTGACACTCAGAGCTTTAAATCACAAAGATTTCAGAGGCACTGCCATTGTGCCCGTCACCCCGAAACATAAGTTGATAAGTCCCGTGTGCGTGTATGTAATTTCACCAGCACCCTTACCCTTCAACAGTGATGCTCGCATTACTACTTGGCGGCAGAACTAGGTAAAGTGGCAGTACTTCTCTGGATGAGCTCTTTCACAAGGCGTTCTACTGCTACTAAACTGCCTGCTGGTTGTATCACTACAGTTTTAAATCTCGTAAATGGCAAATTTTGAATATCGACCGGAATCTTATTATAGAAGCGTATAAATTTTATTTGACTTCAGTGGTCGAATTGCTTGCACACCGGTTTTCATGGTGTCGCCATCGCTGAGGTCCCGGGTTTGATTCCCGGCCGGGTCAATTTAGAAACTAACTTTTTTATGTTATCTCGTGTCTGGATGTTTGTGGTACAGTACAATAAACACTCCCATGAACAGCCGCGATGTTTTCGGCAGATCTTGCGTTTTGTTGACATACAGGTGTTGGCTGATGGTTCACATAACCGGTCGTATCGAATTTTGCCACCAAACGTGTATATTGATAGTATAGCTTAAAGTTGTGACGGTGAGACCTCCTTACGCCGTCATCTCACCTTTTTGTATCGTATAATTTTTTCTTTTGCTTGTATTGTATTTTAAATTTGAATTGTTCCATCTTCCTTCACTTTCTCATTTTTGCTTCGTACCACGGTCACTCTCTGCTTGGCTTGTATAGTGGCGAACTAGGGGATGAATCCGGGTTTGCGCACTTTCAGGTAACCGATTTCAATAAGACTTGGCAAATAGATGTAATTCCACGTACTTTTGAGGTCGGTTTTTTAGTACTCTGTACTGAAATTATTGACTTTATTATGATAAAAGTACTTTTGACGCGTGATCACGTGTGGTTTATTATACCAAAGATACAAATTACGAATACGAAAACGCCAACCAACAAATTAATGACAAGCGTTTAATTTGCGATTTTTTTTCAACCGCGAAAAGACAGTAAAGAATTCAAATTGACAGTATAAGACATTAAATTTTTATGTAGATATAGTTTCATATACAAAGGTAGAATTCGCATACATTCAGTCGCTAACTGTAGCTCTGGAATGGATCACTTTGTCTTGAAATGCAATTGAAGTTGTGACTGGCCTCTGTCCCGCTGAGGGATGTTAAAGAAATCAACCAGCCATAAATTAAGGGAATAGATGAATGAGTTACTTATCTTTGAGCGCTTCAAGTTTCTCGGCAACAGAATTAGGATTGTAAATTCAGACGGATTAAGATAATGGTTGCGATCAGCCATACATACCTAATGAGGATTCAGTTTTAACATAGATTCCCATTTCTCGGAGTAATTCAGAACATTCGTGCACAAAATGAGAATCTCGGGAGTGTCTACATTTTGTGATGGTAATCGGTAATCAATTCTCCATTAATACAGACGTTCGAATATAAAATGGGATGGAAATGCTTTTAGGCGATAGCCTCGACAATTTGAAAACATTTGCAATATAATTGGAAACAAACTTCTGATTAAAATTCGATTATGTAAAGTGAAACATTTCAGATAATCCTAAGGATACGTAAGCTAACTTTCTAATATACTTTTTATGCTCACAGGACTGTACAACCAGAAGAAGCACAAGCTTACTGCGCTAGCCAGGATGGTTCGTGTGTCTTCGTCGAGACTTCGGCTAAGAAGAACTTTCACGTCGACGACCTTTTCTACGAATTGTTCGTTGTCGCTAACTTGCCTTTAGAAATGGCTCCTAATCACCATAAACGAGTGAGTACTGCATTTGGAAGCCCATGTACATTGCCGCCTACAAGTAGCCAGAGCAGTAGAAGTAAGAAATGTACTCTGTCAATAAAAAGAAGGTTATCTGACGCTTGTGGAGTGGTTGCTCCAAACGTCCGCCGGCCGAGCATTCGTACAGACCTGATGATTATGAGAGCTAAGACTTGTGCCAAAGGCGATAATGACAGCGCCACTAGTAGCCCTAAGATAAACTTGAACAGACTCGTCAGGACAACTGCACCGACGGACAAGCGAACCTGTGTCATTCAGTGATAGTAACAATCAATACATTAGGCTCAAAACAGTGCCGAAGATGCTCATTCCGGATAGTGGAACAGAAGAAGGTGCTATTGTAAAATCGGATGTTTGATCGCCTCGTTAGCAATTTAAAGAATACCACATCATTAGTGAATTAAGTACTTTGTATTGTAAATGAACCAATTTATACAATTTGCATTATTCCATGAATTTTCTCCGAACCGACTCTATTATGCCATTATTGACGGTACACTTAAATAAATAATGAAACTGACGTGGAGTTTTAAGTGTTATGCGTACAATTAAGCTGTTGTTAGAGAATAAAATTGTAAGTCGATGGAATGATTGCCTTGTCGTTTTAATGGATTGATGTTTATGTAAAGCAGTGTAAGAGAATAAGAATCGTTGCCGAGCTTCAAATATGTATATGGGTGAAATGTTTAAAGGATCATAAAGTTACAGACCGCGCCGGAAAGAGGTCCCCGGGGTCAGTAATTGGAACAGTAAAATCTTACGTAATATCATTCGCGCGGGAAATTCATTCTCACTTAAAAAATTCTAGATGCTCTTTTCATCACCGTGAATGTTTATTATCCAAGATATTCGTTTTATGCCTTTTGAAGATGTTTATAAAAACTCAGCATTTATTTAAGGGCGATATTAAAAAGATATCATTGTTGAAATGGGACCAAAACGTGGAAATTGCGCTCATTTCTTTGTTGATAAATGGAAGTGTAATATTAAAATTGTGTTGTCATGAAACTTTTCAAATTTTTACTATGCTCCAAACTTTTAAGACACACATTTGAAATTCATTACTTCAAAATTGTTAAGCGACATTAATGCTAATCCAAGATTACCAAAGTGTTAACATAATTGAACAATAAACATGTTTATTTCGATGCGTATAACATTATTTGTAAATTATATCATATTCATATATGTACCTGTCTGTCTATACTCATATCTTTTTGTATCTTACGTACTTACCTTTGACTTGTACCTTCTCCTGTCTATAATGCATAATAAATATTTGTTTGTAGAGCTATTTATTAATTACCCTTATTTATTTCGTTCTATAAACCTAATTAAAAAGTTTAGATTAGTCACGTCAGTTAAGCCGTTAAATAAGCACCTTGAAATTTTGATTTAAGGAAAGTACGTAACGCTATTATACTTTTTATGCCTAAACCCACGCCTGAAAGGAGACCCGTACCCGGCGGTGGGACGTATAAATGTATTTTTTAATGCAAACACTCATATCCCACACTAGGGTAACTCTGTATCGCGGGTGCCACGGACACACACATAGACAACAAACTAATTAAATACTGATGATGTTTTACCGACACGAATATCGTCGGTGTTTTGTAGAAAAGGCGAAAGTGCTATTGCGAAAATTTGTTTACATGAAACAAATTACGTATAGATTAGTATGAATTTGCAGAAGTGACCTTATTGCACCGTGGATGGGAATGGTAATGGTAACGTATAGATACAAAACACATCGTACAATGTCAAATCATTGAACGTATATAAATCAGAAACCCGATTATAAAAATAAATATAATTAAAGAATGAAAAAGTCGATAGACGTGTTTAACTCCCGGAATATTGTTTTTATTGAAATGATTTGCACTTTATAGTTCCATTACTATAGATAGAAAGAATACAAATTGCAAATTATATTTCGTCGCTTCATGCTCGATATAATATTTAACCAGGTAGTTTCCTTAACTTGGTAGGCAACACTGCACGGTTTTTAGAGAACAAAAAAGTTTTGACGTTGACTCTCCCTACCAGACATCAACCGCCATTCCTTTTTCGTGCGTGGCAACAAGCACACCTCTAAAGCTCCTTTATAATGTCAAAGCGAACAAACTTGGAAAAAATCGAATATTATAAAAGTAAACTAAAATACTTGGAAAATACAGATGCCAAACGTCGTCGGCGTTATAGGATCATAATATCATCGGATGAATTGAACATTGATCAAGGTAAGATTTTTTCTTACGCTCATAAATAATGAAAATAAACAATGAAAATATTAATTTTTATCATATACTGCGCGCACGGCTGAGGTGCCGATAGAGCTCATACGCAAGGTTGCGAGTTGGACCCCGACATCTCCATCCTTTACTAGATTTTATAATAGACTAAACCATTTCTTTACAACATAATAAAAGGGCAAATTATACTATTCTAAATTAATAATAATAAACTTTATTTATACAAATATTATATGATTGCGACGATTTAAAAATTGCTATGATTGTGATCTCAGGAGAAAAATCGTTCTATGTTCATATCTATATATATTTTTAATAAAAATAAGTGGTTTTTAATTTACATAAAATCAACTAGAAACAAAATTTAATACTCTAAAACTCTACTTGGTTAAATATGATATCGAGAATGAAGCGATGACATATAATAGATGATCAAACGAACTTCTTGAAGTGAAGTCCACTATTATGTGAGTCGCTAAAGTAAAGAAGTAAAGATTCTGAAACTCCCAAATAAGTTTTGCTTCCCTCTCTAAAAGGAATGAGTATAAAAAATGGCGGTTGATGCCTGGTAGGGTGTGTCAACGTCAAAACATTTTTTTTTTTCTGTAATAACCGTGCAGTGTTGCCTAGCAAGTTAAGGAAACTACCTGGTTAAATATTATATCTTCGAATGAAGCGAATCACATAATAGTGATTGAATTTCACTTCAAGAAGTTCGTTTGATCATCTATAATTTTCTAGTCCCATGACAATAAAAACTTATAACAAACGCCTATAGCCGTCTCTCAGAAAAACAAAGTTTTTTTTCTGAGTGTACTTGGCGTACATTTTTGTATGATCGAAACTTTTCTTACAAAAACGGTAAACAGACCAATTTAAACTTGTAAACAAAAAAAAAACATCCAATTAATAAACTTCACAATATTGAAGGTAGAGTGTTGTAGACATAAATAAATTTAATTTGTACAGGCAACAGCTGCCAATGCAGAGGAGACGGTAGTACCACGGTTATTGTCTGTGTAACGGCGAAACTTCTTCTCGATTATTAGACGCGATGTTTCGTGGCATTTTCGCAAAAAAAGGCTTTTAATTTCATTATATAGGGCCAAAATTGTTTTTAAACATGGAATATTGGATTGCGTATAGCATAAGCTACTTCAGTTGACACCGAAGTCATCATCACCAACCCATTTATATATCCCACTGCTGGGCACTGGTTTCCTGTCGAGCGACGGTTTAGACCATATTCCGCCACGCTGACCTAATGCGGGTCGGAGACTTCATTACGATGATCTCCTTCACCGAAAGGAGATCATGGTAAATTTTAAATTAAATTTCGTACATAAATTCCGAAAAACTCAGATGTGAGAGCCCGGATTTGAACCCACGGCCTCTGCTTGAGAGGCGGCAGGTCAAACTGTTAGGCTACCACGGCTTCTATTGTTCCATTAGGCTACACTTAAGTACGTCCCTGTAAAAGGACCCTAGAGTCGACCTTATAATGTCTAGTAATTCGAAACAATGTATAAATAATATATGATCACGGTGTACAGATAGCTTACTCAGGTTTTTGTTGCGCCGCCATGTTTTAATTTGTGTTTTCGTTTTTTTGAATAATGGAAGAATACGAAATAACCACTCAAATAGCACTGCTTGCATTAGAAATTTTCGTCGTGGCGATCTTTGTGAGAGGCCCGTGGCCAGCAGTGGACATCTTTTCGGTCAAATGATGGCAATGATAGCACACTAAAAAGCGAACTAGACAAAGCTCTCGCGAATTGGAGTACAATAAAAGCAACAGTAATGAAAATTGGAAAACTTATTACTACATATATTTAATTGAGTCCAGAGAAGAAAAGAAACACATTGTAACAATTACTATTTTCTTATTTAAGCTATCCGCACTCCCACTGAGTGTACAAGTATGGAATTGAGTTTGTTCAACTATTTCAATCAAACCAAAGCCTACGAGTACGTCGTCTGAGACTGCAAAGAGCTCTCAATTCATACTTCTACGTTAAAGTTCTTAAGCTCCTTTATTGAAATAGCTCTTTACTGCCCATTTATGTACGTACGCGTCGGGAGGTGAGCGTGTTTACAGCCACCAAAGAGGAGATTTGGTAGTGGACTTTAGAGTCAACGGCTTGGCGGTGGCTACCAGGTTATGCAAAAACCAAGTGATTTTGAAAACCCGTTTTTTCGGTTTTTAATTTTCGGTTAGCCAGTTACTCAGTTTTTTCGGATATTTTCTATTGTCACACATGTAATTCTTTAAAAGTGTCAGAAAACTAAAACAAAATATTAAATCAGTGTTTTGTCGATTATTTTTATTATTTATGGAATTTACAGTTTGAATAATCTCAGTACAGAGTACTAAAAAAACTGACCTCAAAAGTACGTGGAATTACGTCTATTTGCTAAGTTTTATTAAAATAGGGGATATTTCCCATTTTCCAGTTCGCCACTATACAGGACTTAACACTGGAGATAATAATAATCGGTTCTCACTTAATAAAAAAAAAACAAATCAACATATTTTTAACAAACGAAATTAAAGCCATTTCAAAAATGTACATCGTATTGTAACGGAACGTTACAACGTTGTTGGAATAAATCGTTATTCAAATTTAACAGTATTAAAAACTGAACACTAATATTATCTTCAACAAATATATCCTATTTTTAAATAATAATTGACTATAAAAACATTAAAACCATGATTTACCATAGACAAAATTAGTTAAATCTATGGCAGTTAACGTTGCATTTTCGAATGATGTCGGAGACGCAGAGCGGGGAACCGCGGTAAACCGAAACCGGCTCCGGCTCTGACAGACAGCGTGAGAACGTCTTCAGGGCTAGTCCACCCTCGGCTTGGCTATGCTCACGATATAAAAAACCCTTTGACGTATTTTTAAATGTGAATTTTTTTTATTGTCAAGGATTATTGCTTCTCAATCACATTAAACGTACTTAAATAGTTGTGAAAGTTCCCGCTTTAGGGTAAGTTGAATGATACACAAAACACTTCATCATCATCATTATCACGAGCCTATTGCAGTCCACTTCTGGACATAGACCTCCCCCAATGTGCGCCATTTCGTCAGTTCCTCAACTTGTCGCATCGATGTCCCGCCAGCAACCTTTCACAGGTCACTCCAGGTGGGTGCCCGAGGTAAGTGTATACGGAAACAACTTCAAGAAGGTGGCCATTTACGACTATGGGTCTCGGGTGAATGTGATCATTGATCATGATTTTGGTCTTGTCCAAGTTCACGTCGAGACTAATACGTCACGAGGCGGACGCTAGGCCGTCCAGCATCTGCTGTAGTTCCTCCAGCGACTCCGCCATTAGGCCTATGTC